GGTATCGAAAAACGAGATTGATTGATTAACTTGACACAATAAGTATAATTTTGTACTTTGTTACATCGCATGTGCGCTTGAAATATGGACAGAAGTTCTAATATAATGTTACTTGAACACTAAAAAGTGTCTCTGTACTTCCCGGGGAGTAAAAGAAAGATGGATTTTTATTACAATAATATGAAATTTTATATCCTTAAGCCTTCCTCATTAAAACGCCAAAAAAAAGAGATAAAATTTCGTAATGGACAATATTTTTTATTTTTTATGCGATGCTGGATATTACAGGTTTCGAAAACACTTACAAGTATCTGTGCTGAAAGCTTCCAGCGTAACCAGACAAAGTTAAATGGGATCTTAAGAGGGCAAGGCTTCGAAACATCGTATTTCGCGTTACCCTAGATGTGACAAAAGGATTCCAGTATGATGATAATGAAGAAAACATTTCAGAAGTCCAATAGCTCAGGCAGAGTAAGTTAGTTCGATTCGAATGATGTCTGTAGTTACAAAAGCTGTTAGCTTAATCCCTTTGGGATCAAAATGTGAAACACGATCGATCTGCTTACTTACATTGTAAATGAGAAAATACTATGATGTCTGTTACGTCTGTGAGGGAAGGGGAGCTGATGCAAATTTCTACCTCTATACGCTTCAACACTCCTTTTAGATCGTCTTTCACAGAAGAAACTTGCAACTATCATTCTATATGGCACGTTGGAAATTAATTATTAGTTTGAAAGGAGAAGAAAGTCGTATTCTCCGCATAAGTTCAAAATAAATCGAGGGATACAATTTTGAAAATCAATTTCTACAAATCAATGTTTATAACGGCGTGGCTAAGCGTTACGGAATTTCTTTTTCATTGTAACACCTATATCTGCTTATTGATAAAAGCAGACTCCTTGAAATTTTTAACACAGATTGGGAACATATAGCTCTACTACCGGTAAAAATATTATTGATATTCTTTGAGTCTGGACTGAGTTATTCCAAAAATACGGACCGTTACGGAGTTTCGAAAACTGAAATCTTTTCTTAGGTTCGAGTAAGAGTTTAGTATGTTAATACGAAACAAAGTGACATACATATAAACGTCCTATATAAAATTTACTCAGTTTTTAACAACATTCCAGAACATCAGGTCATTCCATAACATGCATGGCTGTATCGAATAAAGAACTAAAACCACTCTTCGTTACGGAATTTCATCTTTTTTGACTTTTCAAAGAGTAGGATATGGGAGTCAACAAAATCATATTATTATAATAAAAATTCATCTTTATTAAGCTTCTCTCCCTTAAAACAGTCAGTTTTCGTTAGAAAATCCAAAATTAAGATAAATGCATGGGAAGGTAGACTGTCATCGGCTCTTTCATAAGCCACATGATTTTTTTTATACACTTCGCTTTTGGCCAAAATTTTTGATGATTTCCGTCGTCTTCTAATTGAAAAATATGCTTTTTTCGGAAAAAAATGAAAAATGTTTTTTGCTTTTTCTCTGTTTACACTTTTTTGATTACGCAACCCAAATTTCTCTGTCCATACTCGTTCTATATATTAATTTTTTTTTTCTTTGAAAGAGCATGTTAAGGTGCTGGGCATGACCGAGTGTCGTTGTTTAATTAAGCATTGTTTTTATTATATATACAAACTAGGGGTATGAAGTTATTGTTATTTTCAAAATAACTTTTTTTTACAAATTTTACGAAATGTGAATGTAATCTAATATATCATATGCCAATAGAAAGAGTAAAAAATTCTGAGCCGTAACGGATAGTTACATATGAGTCGTATGTAAAGATTTAGAGAAATGCCAGAAAGATTTATTTTAAAAATAACAATAACTTCACACCCCTAATACAAACACCTATATAAACAGAGCGCCATTTTTAGTGTTTTTTAAGACCTTCAACTTGTTACCGCTTTTTTTCATATAAAAAGTAAATATTTCAAAAAGAAGCTCTGTATGTCCTGCATTTTGAGATGCTCTTTCAAACAAACAAATAAATAAATATATTGAATGAGTGCCCAAAGAGAAATTTAGGTTCCCAAATGAGCTATTTTTGACACTGCTTTCATTGGTATCATCCTCAGCCGTCATAATATAGAGCTCAAAATTTTATCATAGCCTCATCACTACAGCTCCAACATATTCTGTAAATCTCAATCCGTTTCTGTTGCCCTGATGCACAATTGATTTTTGAGGGGGAGGGGCTTAATTCACGAGTAGAACAAGCAAAAATGAAATTTATCGAGATGCACAATTATACTTTCTTGGTGAGATTAGTTAATAAATCTCTTTTTTTCGACATGTAATAGAAGAAAGACGGAGTTTATATTACTCGTCAACAAAGTATCTCAGAGCTTGCATCATGCTTGATAATCTGTCGATAGTGTACTTTCGATTCGAAAGATAGTTTTCGTTACTTTTGTGAGTTCGAACCTTGCTCATGCCAAGGTGACCGATGGCTGGGCATACCGATAATAGGCGTGTTACTTTTTGTTTACTTTAAAATAAAGAATAAAGATAAAGAAAATCTTTATATTTATACAATAAATCTAAATAAAATCTTTATCTGTAAAAGTAAAAAAAAACAAAAAAGATAAAGAATGATTTTTGTCTCTCATAGAAAAATAGGTAAATAACTAACATAGCAACGGGATAAATCAATCAAAAAAGATTTATGTCAAGGAGGGAAGTTACTATTACATTACCAAGTAACTGACAACGAAAAAGTTGAGAGTCTGACTTTTTTCCTCCGGAAAAGCCTATTTTAGGAAAATAACGATTTTCTATCAAGTTTGATCGAAGATTTTGGGGGTTGAGGAATCCTGAATCTATAGATGGTTTCTCAGAATTTGTAAGTTTGATTTTATCATTAAGAAGAGTCTATTTTCGGCGATATAACCAAGTTTCATAGGATTCCAGTGTTTCCTTGAAAATGGATGTTCTTTAACGAAAAAATCAAATCGCAAATTTTGAGATATGATCTATAAATTCGGATTCCTTGATCCTGATGATCTTTAGTCAGATTTTATAAAAATGGTTATTTACTTAAAATAGACTTTTCCGGAGGAAAAAATCAGACTCAACTTTTTCGTTGTCAGTTACTTGGTAATGTGATAGTAACTTCCCTCCTTGACATAAATCTTTTTGGATTGATATATTCTGTTGCTGTGTTAGTTATTTACCTATTTTTCTGTAAGAGACAAAAATCATTCTTTATCTTTTTTGTTTTGTTTTTACTTTTACAGAAAAAGATTTTCTTTATCTTTATTCGTTATTATAAAAATAAATAAAAATAGAGTAACACGCCAAACTGATAACTTTTCTTTTTTCTTTCAGGGATGTGAAACTATTGGTTGTGTAATAATACTATTCTTAACATTATGGTCATTTTTTATAAAAGTAAAAATTCAAACAGCTGATACAGAACTTGTTTAACTTTTCTTTTTTTTTATGGTTACTTTTATTTGTTCTTTCTCTCCTTGTCTCATTTTAGATATAAATGTTAAATTACGGCCTGTCACAAAAGTTATGATCACTGAATAAACGTGCATAACTCCACAACTAATCAGGTTTAATCCAATGAGCTTTTTTTCTGAGAGAGAAAGTCATAAGTTTTTATTCTTAACGACCAACTTCATAAATATTCTTTAAAACTATCACTATTGACTGTAGAAGCAAAATATATCATTTTTCTGGTGTCAGAAAACAGTATGCAACGTTTTTTCCACATTTGCTTTACTTTCTGTCCTTATCACAGACTTCAGATCATTAATATCCCTTACCGCTGCTCCATAACCATTTGCTGGATATTTTTTGAAAAGTTTGACTAATTGGCATATTTTCTGAAGGCGGAAAACGGATCCTGGATCCTCGGATCCCGACGGATCCATCAAGATTCATCAGAATCCACTTTTCCTCCTTGCATTTTCTTAAAAACAAATAGTATCATTGTGTGTTTCATATTAATTATAATCTTTTTTATGTGCCAATAAAGGAACATTTTTACCAGCCGGAATTGTTTTTAGAAAACAATCTCATATATTCTTCTTTGCTGAAAAAAATACTAATCATATGTCAGTTGTCGACCCTGGGATGCAGAATTCTTGACTAACTCATTTGCGCATAAGAATAGTGAATGGCAGATAAATCTGAGATTGATTATTCCGGGTCAATTAACGAATAGTCTGTTTGGTGCTAGATTTAATAATGCTTTCAAAACATTGTTAAGATTAATCGTGTTATTTTTCACATTTGTCATCATGGTTAAATAAAAATCCACAAGCTATTTATCTATTTTTCTCTTATGAATTTATTTATTATTATTTTCTTACTATCATTATCGACTAAATATAGTCAGAGAACTATGATCAATGAAAACATTTTTTCAAGCAGAAAAATTATTTTAGCTTCAGTCACGTGTCAAGACAGGATGACCTGCTTCTTCTCCTATTTTACAATTAATTTGGTATCTTTGAAGACGACACAGATGGGTTGAAGAAAGAAAATTCTGGATATGTACTGCCCTTATGCAGATATGCACCAAAACACAGTAGTGATAACAAAACAATTAAGCAGAAAAACGTTTTCTCTGTAACTTTAGAATATCCAATTCGCTATGATTAACATTTCTACACACCGTGAGCATATGAACGATGAATGTTCCTCCATTGGCATATAAAAAAGATTAAAATTAATATGAAACACAATGATACTATTTGTATAGAAACTTGTTGCCTCTGTTTCTCCGAGATAGAGCGGCAATGGCACGAAACCTTCTAGAGTTTTTATCTACATTATGAGCCCTGCCTGTGTGCAAAATATGTGCGTCAATGGAGGTTATTAGTTGAATAGGTTTCCTCGTCACGTAAATAGAAATTATTGGATTAAACTTGGTCAGTACTGCAGTTATAAACATTTATTCAGTGATCATGACTTTTGGGACACCCTGTATTTCATTTTAGATAGTCTAAGTGCAATACTATTTGTCGAAATGCTCGAAGTTTTTCACAACACCAAATTTATATGTTGTTGGAATATGAAACCCCTACATGGATTTCTTGAAGAGGTATTTTCTGTAGTGTATTTTTATTTTTTTAACCCGTCATCGATTGTATCTTAGTTTGGAATGGAGTCCTATGTAGAATTCAACTTTTTTTGAACAAATTTCTGACTTGATGTCGCTTAGTCCAATCTGAATGCAAAAACTCTGATTCATTTGTCTTAGATCAGTTATATGCTTTGTATACTGTTATTAGACAAAAAACTAAAATTTTAATAAATGTACGAGATTCAGACATGAAAATGTCTTGAAGGTCGCTCCTTTACCTTCAAAACGATGTCGTAATTTATTAGTTTTTCATATTTGTCAATAAATCTGTCAAAATTGAGTAGAGTATTGTTTCAACATCCTAATATTCTACTTAGGTTTCGAATGGTTTATATATATTGTATACGAGAACACTCAAGTATTTTAGGAGTAATGGGACATCTTTTACTGTCAGTAGTGTCAAATCTGAATGTTGAATTCAATTATTGAAAATCTACTTCAACTATTCAATTATTCAATTATTTCATTTTTCGAATAATTGAAGTTCAACTATTCGAAAAATGAATAATTGAATTCAATTTTCAGGTTTGACATATATGAACTGAACAAGATTTGTTATATTTTATTTCTTGTATGGCCAGCCTCCTTTGACAAAAGACGAAAAACGCAAATATATGGGTATGTATTATCTCATGATTGCAACTCTACTCTTCGTCTCTGGTTGTTTCTTCAGGATCGGTATGATATCTTGGGTAAGAAAATGNGTTTTTAGATGAGTATAGTCACCATTTTTATTTCGATATTATCACAACATTATTCAATTCATGCGCTAGTGTCCGTATCAAATTCATCGTATCATATTCTGTTGACCTCATTATTTTTCACTTTAACAAAGACGAGACATTATACTGTGAAAAAGCTCATGTTAAAAATTTACTTTGTATTGTATTTATCGAAGCCAAGATTTGCTATATTTTTTAGTTGTTTTTGGGAATGAGCCCCTACCCGATTGGACTATTTCTCATTAAAACAAAACTACTTTTTGAACACCTTAATCGCTTGTTAAATACATGAATTATATCGTATGATATTTGATTTTTGAAGGCGTAGTATACAGCATGACAGAGATCTGCCATCAGAAGTTAGCTTCTCTTGGCAATATGCTGTTTTCATTCGATATATCTATCAATTATAAGTTTTTTCCCCATGGACAAATGCAAGTAGTTAATGTTTATTCTCAATAAAATACACAACAATTTTAGTATTTATTATATGTCGAATCAATATCTCCGACGACAACATTTAGACGTTGAGTTGCTTTGTTATGACTCTTATTGTATTTAATACTACAGAAATAAATCTCTTGAAATGTGCTAAATCATAATTATTCAGATCTGTTGTCTTCTTTCATCTATAAATATATCAACGATAATCATTGCACACAAGCTCATCAATGTTTGTCATCGTACGTGCTAGCAGTATCTAAAAAATAAATACAAAGAATTTCAATTAGAAAAAAATTATATAAATCCATGAGAATGGTGCAACATACGTTGTCCCATCTATTTATCAGTTCAGAAAATAACTCCTTTACATTAAATGTACACACTCACAGGGTCATAACGGTACATATGGATGATCTCATTAGCCATTGAATACTTTTTATTTCTCTTTCATATACATTCTTTTCAAGCATTCTCTTGTTTACATCATTGTACAGGGTGGTAAATAATATTATTCAAGGGGGGTAACGCTATAATTCTAAATCGAAGATATGATGAATTTTATACCAAATGAAAGCCTGTGAAAAATGGGATGTAGTGATGCTAAATAGTAAGACTTCGGAGGACTTTCGTATATCAAACTCTTAAAAACAATGGAATTTTCGTTTAAAAAAATCGTGAAAAATCATTTTTACTAAGTTTTAAGGCATTGAAAACGAAGATTTTTCCAAAAAAACGAAACAAAACTGATAAGAATCACGAGATATGACTATGACTCAGACAATAAGATGGCTCCTTTGCGTTCTGTTGTTTGCTGCACGTGATACTAGTTATTTCAAAAATTTTCATTCTCGGTCTGTTTGAAAGCTGTAGTGGAGAAAAATTTCAGTGTTTTTTGGCATGATATAACAGGTTATTTTCTCATCGATATAGTTTATAGTAAAATTCATCCTCTTGTTGCATCAAGGAAATTTTTCTATTTCAAATGGCTGGTACTTATGATTCTGAACAACAAAGAATGATTGACAGAATCAAATGCATTGTGTTTCATGAAGCTCGCGATGCTGGTGCAACATTTATCAATAGACAATGGATCGCCGACAAAATTCATCGTACAACTCGATTTGTCTCAGAGTGGTGGGAAAAATCGTATGACCAATGCTTTGCTGATTATTCAAATGCTGGTCCTAAACTAAAGTTATCACAAGCTGCTCAGGATATTATTCGTGAAGCAAGTGGTCGGCAAAGAAACAGCGGTTCTGTTGTGGCGAAGGAGATTGCAAAAAAGCAAAAAGAATACGTCACTCGTCAAACAGTTAATAATTACCGTCACAGGGAAGGATTAAAACCTTTTCATGTTATTCCAAAACCGTGAAAATCTGAAACACATATATCAGACCGATTGTGGCTTTGTGATTGGTTAAAAGATTGGACTGAAGAAGATTTTCTTAATTTGGCTCCATCGGATGAATTTTATGTTTGGACTGTTCGCAGACCAAATTATCAAAATGATCGAGTTTGGGCAAAAAGCATTGAGGACATTGAAGATGATGAAAGGTATCGCGAAATCGTTAAAAACCAAGCGTGCATCGGCATTTTTATCATTTTGACTGCGAAAAAGCTGCATTGGGTAATTAAAGATAAAGGTGAATCTTGGACCGAGCAATATTTTCGTGACACTATTTTAATGCAACACGTCTTTCCATTCCTCAAAGACGAAGAAAATGTAATCGATCCGTATAATGTGATATTTGTTCATGATAAAGCACCATGTATGTGAGCAAATATGACTCAACATTTGATTCGAGACAACAACATCAAGTTTTGGGGTAATGATATTTGGCCTGGTAATTCATCTGATCTTAATGTGGCAGAACATATTCGATCAATAATCAAAGACGAAGTTGAAAAAAAAATGTTGTCAGAAACTGGACATAATCGATATCTTGAAGACACACTCGAAATGCATATTACTAATGTTTTGACTGGCATGGAAGAAGATACTGAACTGTTTGAAAGTCTTTTATGTTCGTATCCATCTCGACTTCGTGCAGTAAAGAACGCTAATGGCCGCCATACTGATTATTGATTGTACTCATCAAATAATGACAAAATAAACTATTTTGAAACATATTTAGTTCGAACATCACTCTATAAACTGATTTTATAATATTTTGTGTCGGTAAGAAGTCGCAACTTTTGATAATTCAATACATGAAAGTCCTTCAAAGTCTCACTATTTAGCATCACTAAATCCCATTTTTCACGGGCTTTCATTTGCTATAAAATTCATCATATCTTCGATTTAGAATTATAGCGTTACCCCCCTTGAATAATATTATTTACCACCCTGTACTGTCGTACAGAACTATAAACTGGTTCTGCAAGTGCTACGAAACTATTTTTGGTTCTGCAACACTCCTTTTTATTTTCAGAGCGGTGTGAAGTGTAATTGTAGTCGACTAATAACATTAGCAACAAAAATTGAAATATAAAGCTCCCTAATTTTCAAAACATTTCCTTGTGACAAACTGCAGTCATTGTAAATCAATTAAAGAAACAAAATAGAGCATAAAAAAACTTGACCTTCAACAATCAATTAGTACCTGATCGACGCTGACTGCTCCTCCATCAACACCATCAACACCGATACAGCAAAAAAACTATATTACAAGTTCCTGTTTTTGTTGTAACTGGTGCATCTTCTATTAAATCTCCGCATTCTTCGAATACGCAAACAGCTGTATCTCCAAACAAACTCTCGAAAATCTGACAAGTTATCAGAATAAGTGTTATTATCTCAAAGCCCTGAAAACAAGCCGCACTTCAATATTTTATTCTCTGTTTTTTTCGAAAAAACTCTTTTTCTTATCGCTGTGTCGTATCTAGGTTTTAATAAAGCAAACTTTTGTATAACTATACACTTTTGACTTTTTCGAAGCAACGTCAGCTGAAACTCTTTTTCGTTCGTCATTGTGCTTTTAGCTCGCGTTTTATTTAGGCTCAGTGGTCTAACATGTGCTCTGCCTTTTCGCCCAATACTACAATCCTCACCAATGTAACCAGAATAACCTTTTCGTGACGGATTCTCCTCATTAATCAGTCAATGGTACCTATATATATCCATGGTCATTCGACATCAATTTTCGCTAGTCTAATCAACAAAACTGAATTTTATGCCAAACACCAACTAACAAAGAATTCATTATCACAACACTACGTTACACTTTCGAATTCAGAGTCTACTTCACTCACCAACTCTATCCAAGTCTTACTGAATGATACTTACGAGGAAACATTCCCAGGTGTCGAAACGCTTTTCAGTCGGGGTTTCGCACATCTTATAGCCCTTAGTGAACTATGCTTACCATTAAAAAAAATCAGATTTCTGGCGTGTTCGTGCCGAGATATGAAGTCTTTAGTAAATTTTCTCTATAGTGCCTCACTTTTGCAACAAAGCTACATTTTAAAGTTTTGATCTAAAACTTTGCATACGAAAAGACCTCAGCTAGGCTAGCTTGTATAAAAATTTCAGAACTCTTGGTCAAAGTTTCTTCGAAACATGGAACTATCAAGGTACAGATCCTTTTTCAGAAATAATACATATAATATGCATTCTTTTTTAAAGCTTCGTATTTCGGAGAAATTCTGTTCAAAAGTTGTGAATTCTTTTGTAGAAGCTAGCCTAGTCGAGGATTTTATGTAGCCGAAGTTTCAGGTCAAAATTCAAGAATATAGCGTTGCTGCAAAAGTGGGGCACTACTGAGAAAATTTACTAAAAACTCGATATCTGGGCAGGAACATGCTAAAACCCCGAACTTTTATTATGGTAGACATAGCTCACTAACGAGGAAACATTTTCAACTGAAAAATCGTTTCTGAGATTGGACTCTCTGCATAAGATAGACCCCAGTGATGTATGAAAAATCCCGAAACGATACGTGCCATTAGACTTTCTGTCCAGAGTTGTAGGCATTTTACTGCAATTTTAGCCTATGGTATGATATATATATAGATATATACAAATCGAATGATGATATTTCAACCGGTAATTTTGCCCACGAACAGGCCTATTTGTGAGTAGAATACCTTGAAAATTTCAAATCGAAAGCATTTTTCCTTCCCGAGATATTAAAATTCTAAAAAACATAAAATTCTACCATCTTTTGTGAGATGAGTGATTTTTGGAACTTTAATATCTCCGGAAGAAAATATTCTTTTGAGCTGAGATTTTCAGAACATTCTACTCACAAATAGACCCGTCCGCGGACAAAATTATAGATCAAAATACCGTCATTCAATTTATTGGTTTATATCATATCATATGTTAAAATTGCAGTAAAATGCCCATAACTCTGAACAGAAAGCCTAATGGCACTTATCCTTTTGGGATTTTTCATATCTCATTCGGATCTATCTTATACACAGAGTCCAATCTCAGAAACGATTTATCAGTTGAAAATGTTCCCGTGTAAGGGCTACAAGATGCGTGAAACCACGACTGAAAAGCATTCCGACACCAGGGATTGTTTCCTCGTTAGACGATGGTCATCCTTATTCGATATCGATTTTTCAAATCTTATACACAAAGGTAAATTCTATTCAAAAGGACGACTAAAAAAGGAATGCGACATGACAGAATTACGTTGCATTCTTTCACAGAGAATCCACTTCACTGACCAACTCTCATGAAGGATTAGTCAATGGTATTGAAACAATCGCTATTCTTATTCAACACCGACGTTTTGAAATCTGATATGCAGAGGTACATTTTATTCAAAACAATGAGAACAAAAAAGAATGCATCATCAGGTAATTACAATGCACTTCTCGGCACAAAATCCCCTTCGCTGATCAATTCTCCTTGAGGAATAGTCAATGGTTTTTCAACAATGATCGTTCTTATGCAACTTCGATTTTTTCAAATCTCATGCACAAAAGTGAATTCAATGCAGCTAAACGACTAAAACACAGTTAGCAATTATATAACTACGTGGCGCTTGTTCATCCAAAGTCTACTTGAATGATGAACTCTACTCCAGCATTAGTTAATGGTATCTAAAGAATATTTAGGATTATTCAACATCGATTTGTCGAAATTTTATACGCACAGGTAAATTTTATTCAAAATAACGACTAAACCAGAATGAGTCATCGGATATTTACGTTATGCTTTCTCACCAATAGTCTACTATATTGATCACCTCTTCTCTTGCATTAGTCATTGGTGTTCAAGCTATGGTTTGAAGCATACTTTGTAAAAAAAAATAACTCTCTATAAAAATCTTTTCAACAACTGGCTTGCAATAATGGTTCGGTATGATCAAATTTTCAAAGGTCGATTGCAAATTTTAATTGTTCACAAAAAATGTTAAAATTATCGATTTTCAATCAAAACGAAATTTTGAAACATTTTGGTTTATTGAAAATTTATTTTATGGATGTTCGTAAATGAGAAGTAGGTGATGAACATCCAAAAGGGAAATTAATATAGTTGTGCGAACAAAATACAGACAAAATCACGATAATAGATAAGCTTGAACACAGATAAAAAAAAATTTTCTTCTCGATTATGGTAGTTGCACAGACATCTTGGGTATTTGAGTGTCCGCTCGCATGCCGTATTTCCTAGAAAGAGAAAATAGGTCATGTCTATCTCCTAACTGTTGGATGCTATTCAAGCTTACTTCCTCTTTTAACATCTTCGTTCAGTGATATCATTGACTTCGATACAGTCTTTCTAAGCGACAATTGTAGTAAAGAATAACGTAGAAAATGAATCATTGCTACCAGCGCACTTGTCAAATGTGTTGCTCATTTCAGTGCTAAGATGTCCGTGTCAACACGATAAGAAGGATTACATTGTCAACGAAACATACCAACCAAGCTTTGATTCAACCATCTCATTTCCTTAGCAACAAAACAACTGCAGTTCTACAGTAAAATAATACCCGCTCAAATTCGTACGATCCTTACGAAAGTTATGTTCACCTATATCGAGAATATGTAGCCAAATTTCCACATCTGCGACAAAGTTATCGTGTAGACAATATACGAACTGCTTCAACGAAGACTAATTTCAGATACTTTTCCACCTCCAAGCAAAACAAGGGTATTTTCGACATATGAAACATCACATAACAAATGAAGTAATCGAAGGATGGTTGAGTTTGGATATTTTTCCTCTTCGAAGCAAAACATGAGCATATCCGAAACATAATGAATCGCATACCAAGAGAACTAGTCAAAGTTGTTCTTTTCGTTGTAGAATTGAGTTCAAATTTTTTTTTCTCTTCCAAACAAAATATGAGCATTTTGGAACTACTCAAGATCACATAACCAATGAAGTAGTCGAACGATGATCCAGTTCATATACTTTATCGCTGCCAAGCAAAAAATGAACACTGTCGTACCACACCAGATCACATAACAAATGAAGTAGTCGAAGGATGGTTGAGCTTGGATATTTTTCCTCTTCGAAGCAAAACATGAGCATATTCGAAACATAATGAATCCCATGTCAAGGGAACTAGTCGAAGTTATTCTTTTCGTTGTAGGATTGAGTTTCAATTCGAAATGAGGAGTAGAGAAAGTTTTATGATGAACAATGCTCTTTTCGAATGAATCTGTGAAATAACATAGTGATATCTCTACTGAATCGTTAGTATAAGATCGAAAAATGACGTATTTTTCCTTGTAAAATGCATATTTTTATCTATTCTAAGTCTTATTTCCATCATTGAAAGTTCAGATAAAATAGTAACAACTTTATATATCGAT